TATATATATGTTGAATTACTAAAATATCCCCAAAATAATGTAAGTACCTTTTTAGAAATTAAATTAATATACCAAATCTGTTTGAATGGATGTAACCCTTCAATTAATTAATAATGCTCAAAATAGTTTCTACCGATTCCATTTGATTTTGTTTTCAACCGTTGGCATGTTTTAGAATAGAGAAACAATTGGCTTGTGATTCAAATCAAAATAAAGTCTTTGTTTCACAAAACTACACAGATATATTCCAAAGGAATAGAAGACGAAGCATGATTCTAACTTCTAACTTGATAATAAATAAGTATGTATTTATATACAATTAAAGCAGAAATTAGTGACTTAAAAATACGCACTCGAGTAATTAGTCTCATCAGTGATTCTGCAAAATTCATTAACTTTATGACTGAAAGTAGGGATAGCAATTGAGCGGGTTGGGTCAAATTTGGGCTGGTCAAACCAAGTCAGATCATTAAAGGGGTTAAAACCCAACCCAACCCAAATTTTGCTTGGGTCAAAATGGGTCGGGTCAAGTTGGGTCAAATAGCGGGTCATAACCCAACCCGCCAACTTGACCCAACTTCCCTCCTTAGTTTCTTCCTATTGAACTTTGAATTCAATTCTCTGCCAACAGACCATTGTAACATGAAATTTTCTCAAATTTTTTTGTTTACTTGTTTTGCCACAACTCACATATAGTTTAACAAAATAATTCAACAAAAATCTAAATTATTTAATACAATTTCAGTATTCTAAAAATCAAATCTTATTCCTCCGAGATAAAACGCCAAACAAGAATTATAAATTGCCAAGTTAACCACTTAATTATAGTTGAATTACTTGATTAACCAAGTAAAAAGAACACTTTCAAAGCTTAAAGCAAAGCATATAGAAAGATAAAAAGAGATGATATTATCTGCAAAGATTTTAAATTATGAGCTCATATAAACCCTAAATAAAAAATAAATAGTAGCTTCAAACACCCAATTCACCAACAATAACAAAATCCACACAAAAAATGAAATTCAACACTTTGAAAGAAAAAGAATCAAGGAAAAAGATTAAAAGAGGATGGGAATAGAGTTGAAGAGCCAAAAAGAGTAGTCTAACCTTGCATTCGTCTAAGAAATCAAGGAGGAAAAAGCTTGGAGTAGTCTGTCTAACTTGCGTCTTCTGAGAAATTAAAGAGGAACACGCGTTGGTTTTATTTATTGTCACGATCCAAAATTCACTAAGGGTCGTGATGGCGCTGGACACTGCTGTCAGGCAAGCCAACCAAATTACTTAATTAAATTCTCGTTTTAATACTTTTGAAATCTAGGATTTTCCTTCAAATTTAGCAATTTAAAAGATAATTGTCTCAAATCAAATTTAAATGATAAGCGGTTAATACAAAATACTTCAAAACCATCCCAGAACCCGGTGTCACCAGTGCATGAGAAATTTCTAAGAAAAATCAAATAAAGTACAACAACTGTCCGGAACACAATATTGGACAGAAAATAAGTACAGATAACTGAAAGATACTCTGCTGACTGCGGGTCGCCTCGAGAAGTGCAGCTCACCTAAGTCTCCGTATCCACCCTGCTGCTACGCCCAGTAGGCCACTAGAGTTACATATACCTGTGCAACAAAAATGCACAGAAGTGTAGTATGAGTACGAAAACAACGTGTACTCAATGAGTATCCCGTCTAATATCGAAGAAGTAGAGACGAGATGGTCAATTTCGATACTTACTAGTGGTCCAATAATAATATGGTGAAGATGTGAGGAAAACATGGATTTATCTAGCAATTATAACTCATAGAGCAAGAAAACAGGTAACACCTTCTCAAATAATAAGGAAATTACAAGATTACTTTTCGTTATCTTTATTAGTTTATAGCGGGCCATAAAAAGGCAATATCAACTTCAATAAGTTTCAGGATAAGCAATGCAAGCATGCGCATATTATGCCGAGGCGACGGCCCGATCCAATAGAAATAAACCGTGCACTTGCCGAGGGTCGACGACGCGCCTATAGATGCATCTATTTAATCTGCCGAGGCGTTCGGCCCGTTCCATAAATAAACACACAGACAGTCAATCAAGAAGTCCACACGGAGTAATTATCCAATGAAAACAAATCCTCTTTTAACCATTTAAGAAAAATGAAGTTTTATCTGTTTAGAAATTCCTTTACTAATTCGATGTGATTTAAGCAATTCAAGCTATCAATAGGTTCGTAAATAATCCAAGTATAACATGCTTTTGGGTCCTAATTACCCGGACAATAGCATAATAATAGCTACGCACGGACTCTCGTCACCTCGTGCGTACGTAGCCCCCACAAATAGGAGCACATAATCAATTATTTCACCTATAGGGACAATTCCCTCTTACAAGGTTAGAAAGGAGACTCACCTCGCTCCGAAGATCCATAACCGGCATTACACGCTCCTCCGAAGACTTAAATCGACACACAACGCTCCAAAACTAGCCACTGATTATACAAATCCATTAATATATGCTCAATTACTCATTACAATCCAATTTATAGAAATTCCCAACCCCGATCGAAAAGTTGACAAAAATGCCCTCGGGCCCACGTGCCCGGAATCCGAAATTTTTCGAAGATAAAGTTTACCCATAACATAAGGATCAATATTATATGATTTTTACTCCATTCCCTAATAATTTCGTGGTTAAATCTTGTTTTTACCAAATTCTAGGTTTTTCATCTAAAACCCTTGATTTTCCTTAATCTTCACATGTTAAATCTACCCATAATCCATGTATTTAACTTATGATGTGTAGAAATTACTTACCTCTTTGATGATGATGAAATCCCTCCTCAAATGCTCTCAAAAATCGCCTAAGGCCAAGTGGGAAATGAGGGAAATGGGCTAAGTCTCGGAATAAAAAGCCACAGCTCCAGGCGCAGAAGTCGCATTTGCGACTCCAGGCTCGCAATTGCGATGTCGCATTTGCGACAAAAGCTTCGCAAATGCGAAGCCTAGCCTGCCCCTGCCCTTGTCGCATTTGCGACAAAAATCTTCGCAATTGCGAAGATCACAGCCTCGCAATTCCCATCCCCCATT